TGCGTGCCTTGGTTTAACGGGGATGAGGAGGCGTTCCTGCGTACGTATGTTTTGACGCGGCGCCTGCTAGTTTCCAGCAGTCCTTGCCACCATGAGGCCGTATTTACGCAAAGCCTCAACACGACGCTTCGATAAGCACTGCACAGTTGATATCGACGCAATCAGTCGGGGCGGTGTCAAGAGGTACAGGAAGAATCCGCTCGTGGCGCTTCCACCACTGGTCGTTTTCTTCCTGGATTGACCACTTCCGGTCACTTTTGGTAAGTAGGTGGGCCCATTCCGCCCATCGTGACACCGCCCCGACCAATTGCGTCGATATCAACTATATGGTGTGGCCTTACTGGGTCCAAAAATGGAAGTAGAGACAGTGATTGACTGACTTCCAAAAGTTAGAAATGTTAAAGGAGACGCCGAAAATCACGCAATCAGGGTCCTCTCTCAGAAAAATCACCCCCCCCCACGCGACTGAAATAAACAGACAGTATTTGAAACAAAGTTTATATAATGCGCATAATACGTACTACTATAATCTATAACAAGACGGAGTTCGGCTTGGTGGGAGCAGCAATTGGGACCGAGTTTGTACAAGCCACTTTGTGAAGACCTGTTAATCCTGTAGCTAGAAGGGCCCTTGTACCATTTCGCAAATTCCGAGAGTTTACAAGTCTCGAGGAAATAAGGTACCTATTAGTTAACATGAATTAGCAATAGAAATAGAGAAATAGCAAAATGCCTCAACTCCCCTCCCCCTACCCCCTCCCCCATAGCCGAACAACGCTCCAAAATGTACAAAATATGATAGTGCATGGTAGTCTGATGAAAATATTATGAAATACTAAAAATGTTGTAATAAATGAATGAAGTATGGAAAAAAGATATAAAGTACAAGATAATCCAGAAAAATGTAAATGGAAATTCACATTCACTCACGATATTCTAATCCCCGTAATGTGTCCCTGAAGTATTTCCATGCGCTGTCCTCGTCCAACGGTTTGTCCGTGGGAACGTCCAAGATGCTGCCACGTTCGACAAATTCAAACACCATGTACAGATAGTTGTCATTGGGGTCGTCCAATACCTGAATAAAGTTTCTGAAATCGTATGGCGTAGAGGTGAGTGACGTCGCCACCATCTATATTCGAGCAGCTGACCTGGATCACTCTCGGTCGAGCATAAACTACAAGTGAATAACAACATTTGTGCGCTGCATTCATGCAAAGGCAAAGTCCACGCTAATCGTATGGGCGGGTCAGTTTTGCCATATTGCCTTCCGCATTGCTCTCTCCTCTTCTTCGTTTCGGAACGAAACGAAAACGAGCATTAACGAGGAATGCGCTATGTGAGTCTACTCCGCCCAAATGACCAGCGTGCACAGCTAATGTTATCGATTAGTTACTAGTTAGTTATGGGCGGCAAGCGAGTTTTAACAGTAAGAGATAAAGGATAAAGTCTTCGCCGTTGATCAATCCCTTTGTGGGATGCGGCACGCATTCTACTTCCATTCAGAATCGTAGTGGCTTATTGAATGCGATATACAATGTGCCAGCCGATGTATATGTCAGTGTTTTATCCTCCCAGACGAATCTGGTACCAATTTACCGTCCCCGGAGGGTAGAAGGCTTGGTTGGCCTGGGCGGGAGTCGACCCGGGATTCGAGCGCAGGTCCGCGGTAAGCGTGCAACTAGCCACCACACCAGCTCCGCTTAGCAAATATAAAAATAAAACAATAACGTTCTAGAAACACAACCGCTGGTCGGGTGCTGTTCCCCGATTGTCGTGACCAAGGGTCATGACAATTAACCGACAGGATCCGATAAGCAGTCTTCCTGTACTCTTTGTGCCTTTCATAAGCCGAAAAAGCGGTCCGCCCAAAATGAAAAAAGTAATTGTTTTTTTAACGGGCAATGCTGCCTTGAACCCCTCGAGTCTTGAGACCACTAAAAACTTCTCAAAAACATTTTTCAGAAGGAGCAAGGGCGCCGTTCGGATTGGAGGGAACATTAGGCACTCCAGCTGGTTCTTTTGCTAGTTCATGTTCAATAACAGGTCTCCCTCTGATGAGACCTGAAGACTCCTGCAAAACTGCGGGATCTCGCGGATAAGTCACTTTGGTCACAGAAATTCACATGCATTCACATGGTAGGCTGT